TTTCTTCTAAAGATTGGCCAAATCGGACTCGTCGTACTCCTTCTTCTCGGCCTCGGGTGCCTCCAAGGGCTTTGCTATTCCACCTTGCTTGGAAGACATGGCTGCGATCTAAGGCAAAATGCTTGCTCTATTGGTACACGCAGCAGCTCTAGTTTAGAAGTTTTAAATTTATTTATTTTTATGTTTAATTTATTTATTTTTAATATTTTCTTTTTCTAATATATATTTGTATTATTTAATTAATTAGTTATAAGGGTAAAGTTGTCAATTTATTAGCAGAATATTGACTGAATGGATTATGTGAAAGTGAATTAAAATGTGAGGGCGTGTTAGTGTAATATCTCATACGTGAGAAGGTTTTGTGAAAACTCGATAAACTTCAAGGAATGTTAATGTAATTAATCTGTGAATGCACGGATGAGTGTGACAAGGTAGACTATAAATCTGAAAAGGTAGACTGTATAATTAGTAAAGGGTCACACTCTATCATCCAATCATGCATTTAGATTTTGAGCAATCATGCATTTGGTTGATGAACTTTGATAACAAAAATTCCAAGCCACTAGGTTTTGAGCAACCGTCCATTATCGCAGCTTGTTGGCCACTTTAACCTGTTCATTGCACACTGGTAGGAAGTATCCATATCTCATTAAACTACAGGATGAAAATACCAGATCAAGATTCAAGATGACGTATTTTACATATTTTTTAATATGTAGATCAAGATTATATTTTAAAATTGATTTATAAAAAGGGAGAGACAGGTCACTATACCCCAAAAAAAGCCAGGTGGTGCCTCGTCAGAATTAAAAAAAAAAAATTCTATAAATAGTACAAAATCGAATCGCCTTTTTCTTTTCTTCATCTTAATCTGACATGGAATCAAATTTCAAGATGAATAATGATTGTATGACACTCAAATTATACATAATCACAATGTAACTTTACTAAATTGGGATTATTGTGCATGGTAGCATGGGCATTTCAGGCAAATGACATGCCCTTGTATACTTTATAGTTTTTAGTATTCTATAGTTTCTACGACCAACTCTCCCCCCGCATGCACTCGTGGGTTGGAATTTGAATATTCCAAATCAAAGAGCTTTTGGCATTTGAGAAGAAAAGATAATTAAGATATTTGTTTAGTTAATTTGCTATATTTTGCAAATAAAGAAAAAATATTGGTGTGTTTTTTTCATGGAATGTGACCGCTCATCAAACTATCTGATATATTATGTCATAGACTAAAATTACTGCTTTAAATCATGTAGATGCCAAATTATATGATATATTATGTTACTGGTTATGTAAATTGATAATATGATAACGTAATTAACACAATAACTTTTTCTTAGGACAATTTGTTAGTTTTTGGATTCTTGTTAAAGATTGAAGCATATAAAATAGGTTGGGGATGACAAAGAAAATGATGGATTGGGGGTGCTTTCTAGTGAAGCCATTTGGAGAAAATGAGGTTGCTTCTGGTTTTTGGGAGAAGAAGAAGCCAAGACGGATGTCAAGTGTATATATGGACCTAATTAAACGCGTCTGTTTGAACACTATTTTAATTGAACGAATAAGGGAGCTGGTCAATGCTTGATTGTGACTTTTGAAGTCTTTGGCATTTATTTTTCTAAATAATCCTTCAAACTATAGAATTATGAGAGACCAAAATCCGTTTGCTTACTAGTTCAAAGTCTTCAAGTTAGACTCACCGAGTTGGCCAAAATGCCCATCTTTTCTTTGATATTATACATACATGATAACCATCACGGGTGGCTTAGTGAATAGTGATTGAAGATGATGACATGTCTTGGGTTCAAATTCTAGCACGTGTGGATCACATGATGATGGCAGTGGGAGGTTGAAATACTTCCGTAAGTCTTCTCAACCTTCAAAGAGGTGGACTGCCATGACGAAACCACCAGCTGATTCTTTTTTTTTTTTTTTTTTCAAAAATTATACATACATCTCATGTATACACAAAAAATATGTTTTTTCTTTATTTTTTAAAGAGTACGATATTCATTAAGATGACAAAGATACGTACAAAAAGGTGGATAGGGTGCATAAGTGAGTCTCGATAAAAACTTTGAGAGGACTTTTAGCCGGATCGAAGGAAAAAAAAGTGTCCCGCACAAGAACTATCCTCAATATTTTATTTGTCATAAAATATTATGGTTTTGGCTTCCACAGTCCTGCCTTTTATAGTAGTCACTATGAGTCTATGACACAACTTTTTTTTTATGCAGGATCAGAATGATTAATTATGGAATTAATTATTAATACTAATTTTTATAATATTCTCAACTAGATCACCTTAACTTCTCACCTCCCAATTCCAATTAGGTACAACCAAAATTTTCCTTGTTAAGGCATATACCTAGCATGCATATGCAAGCACATATAGTAAAGAATTATAACATTCTGGTGGAAACTTTTGTCAGGGTATTTGAATTAAAAAGGAGAAAAAGAAGATTTTTCAAAGTTCTTAAAAATTATTTAGGTGGAAAAACAGATATTTAATGATGGTTTTGCAACAAAAAATTAAAAGGAATAAAAGACACAAAAAGAAAATGTAAGCTTTTGAGTCTTTTTAAAAATAATAGTGATTAACAACACAAACTACACTTGTTTTGGTGATGAGGGGGACATGACTTTCAAAATAGAAGCATCACATATGCTCCCTTGACATGTATGAAATCTTAGTAAACTAGGGAAAAAATTAGGGTGTTTATAGAGGCAATTAGGCATGTTCCTTTTGGGATATCTACTAAAATTGAAACAATATGAACACGATTAACGCATAAATCGAGAAAAATCAGTCTTTTTCATCTTCTTATTTTAACCTAAAAATTAAACAAAATTAGTCTTCTGGTTTAGTTATACAGAAGATTGGTGCTAGACATGGCATTGCAAATTGCAAAATGGATTCTCTTTTGGAGCGCTGAGTTTTGATTATTTGCTTGCTTTGACACATTGGTACAAACACAGTGTTTCAAAGACATTGGAATTCTTGTTATATGGTCCCAATCTTCTTTTCACCTGTAGCTACCTTTCATACCCCCTAAATGTGTACATATGATGCTATATGTGCTATCTTTGAGATGCCAAGTACCAACCCAGCTCATATGCATGTTTTTTTTTTTTTTTTTTTTTTTTTTTTTTTTTTTACTTTTTCTTTCCCAAATCTTTACCTCTTTGAGGCAATGCTCTTTGATTTTGAGTTGCACATTGGATTGTGCTTGAGGTATTTGGCACACTCGTTCAATCCTCCAATCAAGATTCTAAAAGACGTTCTGCGTTAATCTGGCATCAGATTTAAGTATATACACGTACAATATTATTTAAATATAAGTAAATTTATATGTATCTTATTTATACTATTTAAAGATAAAATAAAATTTATATTTGTTATTTATGTTAAGATGATTTCAGTATAAAAAGTCTCATTTTATTGCTATTTGTTTTTGAAATTATTTCACTGAAGTATTTTTTTAATTATATACATACACGTTCAAAAACAATAAAAAGCAGGGGCAAAGAGTAAACTGAAAAAAAATGAAAAAAAAAACAATAGCAAAAAAGTCAAACAAACGGGAAAAAAAAAATAAAAGTACAGATTATCTTCATGTGTGTGTTGTACAAAAATGTTCAAGTACACATTATCTTCGTTGCAGAGTGTAAAAACTAGCCCAACCTCTTCACCGAGCAACGTCTGCTCACACATTCTTATATCACATGATTGACACATGAACTTATATGTAAAATACCGGTTTCACAAAATGAGTATTGACAACTTTAACTCACATGCAGCCATCCACTTCTCATGGTGCAGATCTCATTGTAACAGAAACTAACAACCCAATTTACCATGTCCAATGGGGAATGGATGGCCAATTTAGCATGATTCTCTTATGATTAGGCAAACAATGGTAATTCAATTACAGTTTAAATTCACATAATTACACAGTCAAATAATTGGTAAAAACGGGTAGTGAATTCCTAAGAGCTAAGACGCAACCGGTTAAAGTCTATATTTGTAACTGAAATTTGAGTCCAACGAACATAAAAACTACATTAAATAAAATTATTAAGATTTTGATTATAATTGTTTTCTTAATGAATCATTATTCCCATAACCACAAGCACCAAAAAACACTAAGTCCAAAGTGAAAAGTGAAAACCTTCATCCATATAATTACCTAAATTGAAAACAAAGGAAACCACCAAGAAAACAACGGAAAATGATCATCGTCAAATTCTTTTTTTAGGGATCTTAGAGATTTCGTGATCGTGACCGTTCATCATATATCGTGCGATCAATTTTCGTTAGGTACTATTTATATTTAATTTTAAATCTTAAAATGATTTGATCACATAATTTACGATAAACGATCACGATAAAATAAAAAAAAAAGATCGAACGATGATTCTTTTTCGAAAACAACCAAGAAAATTATAAGGGTATTTCCGGAATGAAACCCGCGAGAAAATACGATGGCGGCAACAAGCGTCAAACTTTCCGCCAAAGTTCCAAACCAAACACCTCCAACCCATACGAGTCTCGTTTTGTCCACTCAGTCTGCGTGGCTTCTGGTCCAAGTTCTTTTTAAGTGTTATGCCCCCCAAAATTAGAATACTTTTGAGACCTTTCCCAAACCCTTTTTTTTTTTACCTAATATTTCAAATTTCAATTAAAACTTTTTTTTCCTTTGGTCAAATTTCAGGAATTTAATAATTTGAATTTCCAATTCTGTGCTTCTCTAACCGTAATCCATCTGAAATTCTAAAAAAATCTCCCAACTAATTTGGTTGTTACGCCTTCACCAAAAGAAAATCTGGTTGTTACCCAAATTTAAACTATATTTAAAATGAAAGACATTGCCCTAAAAAGAAAAGTACACCAAATTAAATAAAATAATTACTTTTATTAAATTATTTATACACCGACGCTTAATGCCACCAATACATACATAGACTCTCTCTCTCTCTCTCTCTCTCTCTCTCTCTCTCTCTCTCTCACACTCACAAACACAAATACACTGTTCACTCTCTCTCTTCTCTTCGCTCTCTCTGCTTTCTGTGTCTCTCTGCTGCAAGCCGACGACAGACTCCGCGCTGGCAAAGATTCCCTTCTTTCCCTCTCCCTTCTCCTTTTCCTTTTCTCTTATCTTCCGAACCACAAACCCTAAGCTCGAAATTTTCCCGAGAAACAAACAGACACTAAGCCAACGGCTACCGGAATCCAATCCCAATCCCAATCCCACCGTCATGTTTCAGCTGATCTCGACTTAACCCACTACCTATTTTCCACCGTGGACTGATAAAGTTGCCTTCTTTTTCCGCCCGATGGGCTGCACGAGCTCCAAGCTCGACGATCTTCCGGCCGTCGCCTTATGCCGGGAGCGCTGCGGCTTCCTCGACGAGGCGATTCACCAGCGCTACGCCTTCGCCGAGGCCCACATCGCTTATATACACTCCCTCAGAGGAATCGGCCGCTCTCTCCATCTATTCATCGAACAGGAGGTGGGCAATTCATCCGGATCGCCGCCCTCCCCCCACCTCAACCTCCCGCCGGCCCGAAAAGGCCAGACTAAATCCTCGCCGCCGCGGCACTCTCACTCGAATTCTAATTCTGGGTCCCATCTCCACTTTCACTCCGATTCCGACGACGATTCCGGCTCGCTCCACCGCTCCGACCTCTCGTCGCCCCTGCACGATACTCACCACGGCGGTCATATTGATTATATGGAGGGCGGCGTCCAGGAGGGTTTCAATTCGTACCCAGATGGGTTTATGCGCATGAATTACATGAAGAACAAAGCGACGCCTTCTGTGGTGCATCGGCAGAAACCCGTGAACCCCGAAAAAGTGTATCAATTGGGTGAATCTTCTTCTTCTTCTAATCCGTATTATGGATACCAAAACTCAAATTTTTATCCAGATGCTGTCTCTAATCCTTATTCCGAATACGGCGGTGGGTTTAACAATTACAACGGCGGGGGTGGTGGGTATAATTATGGTGGCGGGGGTGGTGGGTATACCAATTACGGTAATTCTTCTCCGCCCGTCCGTTACGGAGCACCGTCGCCACAGGCCCCAGCTTCGAGTTCGTCCAAGCCGGCTCCTCCGCCGCCACCTTCACCGCCAAGAGCTTCAGCTTGGGATTTCTTAAACCCATTCGAGGCTTACGAAAAGTCCTACTCTGTTTACACTCCGAGTCGGGACTCAAAGGAGGTGAGAGACGAAGAGGGAATTCCGGAATTGGAAGACGAGGGGTACCAGCAGGAGGTAGTGAAGGAGGTGCAGAGGGACCACAAGCATGTGGTGGATGGCGGGAGGCATTCCAAGGCTGTTCTGGACGATGAGGCAGCTGAAACGCAGCCCCCCTCCCTTTATCAAGCTCGGCCGAGTGTTGGGACCGATGGCGGTGGGGTAGAGTATGAAGTCCCTGTTGTGGAGAAGAAGATTGTGGATGAGGAGGAGAGGCGCGAGGACCGTGGCAATGGCGGAGATGCAGCTAAAGCTCGACCAGGGTCTCGAGATGCTTTTGAAGTTGCTCGAGAGATTGAGGTCCAGTTTCAGAGAGCTTCGGAGTCGGGGAACGAAATTGCCAAGATGCTCGAGGTGGGAAAGCTTCCGCATAATCGAAAACATGGTGGGTATGGGATTATACACCTTTTAATAGATTGATTTCTTAAAATTTGCTTGCTTGAATTTTGATATATCCGGGGAGTTTTAACTTTCATGCTTTTGATGTGTAGTAGTTTTAGTTCCCTAAAGTGGAAAGTTTACAGATCAGGGTTTTATATTTAATTTTTGTTGAATTTGAACTCTATTAGCAGAGATTTGACTTTTGTTGTGTGGGTCTTTGTGATCAGTTTCTTCCAAGATGATGTCTTTAGTCTCTTCGCAACCTTCTACTAGCGCTGAGCCATCGACCTCAGCTGGAGTGGCTGCTCCTGCCCCGTTGGGGTTCGATGAAGAATTGATGTTGAGGTCCAAAAATCTCTCTTCCACCTTACACAAGCTATATCTTTGGGAGAAGAAACTCTACAATGAAGTAAAGGTATGTTGTTTCCTCCGTTCCCATTACTGGTTACATGTTTATATGGTCATCTTGTATACTTTTGAATTTTATGAGTATGAGCCATCAGGGTTTCTTGAACAATTCAAACTTTTCTAATTATGCTTCACCAGACAATTGACTTATGATCCTTTGTTGTTCGAAAGCATTGTCGGATTACAATTTCTTTTATTTTCCTTATTCATAATTAAGTCTTGTCTTTTGTTTGCTTAAATGTGAATTTCAAATTGAGTTTCTTAATTTTTACATCTCTATATAAGGAACAATTTTCTTTTAGGTCTGACCAGAGCATATTGGCCCTCTGAAGGACTGAAGGGCCTCTTTGTTGGTATTGTGGTGTTCTCTCAAACATAGATCATGATTCGCCCACCAAAACTAGGCTACTCTCTGTCTAACAATATCTGAATAAATTATGGCAAAGTTCTCTTTTGATTCAAGCATTAACCGAAATGAGCTTGACTAGGTCTTTTGCTGATTTACTCTTCCTTCACTTAAAATTTAAACCACCAGGCATACTCAACATTTCTTCTAATTTCTGTCTATGTTAGTTGTGACCCTATAACAAGTTTTCATGCTTATAATTTTTCAGGCTGAGGAAAAGATGCGGGTGATCCATGACAGGAAGGTTCGTAAGTTGAAGCATTTAGATGAAAGGGGCGCAGAAGCTCATAAAGTTGATAAAACTCGAACTTTAACAAGGGGTCTGTCCACAAAAATCAAAATTGCAATTCAAGTGGTAGACAAGATATCTGTGACTATAAATAAGATCAGGGATGAAGAATTATGGCCGCAACTAAATGAATTGATTCAGGGGTATGTCCATCTTCCAATTGCTGTGGCACTTTGTATGTTTCACGTTCCATAATGAGGGGTAAAGTCATAGTCAATCTTAACTATATCATGATGTTATAGGTTTCGTCATATCTTAATATATTTTCTGGACCTTCTAATTGCTAATCCTTGATGTTTGACAAATTAATTTATTGATTGAATAATTAGCTCCGTGTAGCACAAGTGGTGAGGGGGGTGGGAAAAAGGGTTAGAACTGTAATAGATTAAAGGAATTGGTCAGGTCCATTGGTACTTGTATTTTATTGTTGTGCTAAGACTTCTTGAAGACGAAGAATGGAATTTTAAGAATTAGGTTGGTTAGAGAATAGAAGAATTCAAGCTAGAAAGAGACGCAGAAGCAAACATTAGAAGAGCGAAAAATCTTAATCAAAGTTTCTTTATGAATTTTGTAATTTGATGGTTTTATCCACATCGAGAACTGCATGTTACAACAACAACAACAACAACAACAAAGCCTTATCGCACTGAGTGGGGTCAGCTGTATGAATCCTAGAACGCCACTGTGCTTGGTTTTGTGCTAAGTCTTCCATTAGCTCCAAGTCATCCTAGGTCTTCCTCTACTTCTTTTGCCCTGAGTGAGAACCGCATGTATGGCTTCCAAATACCCTTGTGACCTCAAAATTATGAAATAGGCTCTTTAAGTCTCATACTATCTCTTGGTGTCTTGAACAAGACCTACCTATATAAGGTTCCTAATAAGAATTAAGGTGCCTCCAGTAATCCATGAATCTCATTTTGGCAATAGGAAAGATTGGCTATTTACGCAAAGATTGCTTTGTTGGAAATTGTATACTTTATGGATGCAATAGTCATGTCACATGTCTAATTCTTTTATTTTCTCACACTTCAGGTTAACCAGGATGTGGAAATGTATGCTCGAATGTCATAGTAGCCAGTGCCAAGCGATTAGAGAAGCCAGAGGTTTAGGTCCTATCGGATCTGGAAAAAAGCTTAATGATGTTCATCTTGATGCCACATTGCAGCTGGAACATGCGCTTATTAATTGGACTTTCAGATTCTCTACTTGGATTAGTGCACAGAAGGGATATGTACGAGCGTTGAACAAGTGGCTTTTAAAATGTCTTCTGTATGAACCAGAAGAAACAGCAGACGGAATAGTTCCCTTTTCACCTGGTAGGATAGGTGCACCCCCAATTTTCGTAATATGTAACCAGTGGTCACAGGCTTTGGAGAATGTATCGGAAAGGGAGGTGGTTGAGTCAATGCGTATTTTCACCATGAGTGTGCTTCAGACTTGGGAACAAGATAAGCTTGAAATGCGTCAGAGGATGGTGGCAAACAAGGATCAGGAGAAACAAGTTAAGAACTGGGATAGAAAAGACCAAAAAATACAGAAGGAAATTCAGGCATTAGACAAGAAAATTGTGCTAGCATCAGGGGACGGTGACGGTCTCTCGGTTGCTGGACAGATTGTATATCAGAGTGACACTAGAAATAGTACTTTACAGGCTAGTCTGCAACGCATTTTTGAGGCGATGGAAAGGTTCACTGATAGCTCTACAAAAGTATATGAGGAGCTTTTGCAACGTAATGAAGAAGAAAGGCTTGCCAGAGCAGGTGAGAGAGTTTCGTAGGGCTCTGCAGTTCGATGGAGTTACGACCATCCCCTTTCAGCCATCTAGGTGAAGGATTTGGAAGCTCTTTGAGAAAATTGCATTCCTTGGAGAAAGCTTTGCCTCCACTCTTCGCCTGTAATAGCTGAGTAAGCCATACTTGTGGGCCTGTGGCTTTACATCGACGGTGCAAGATGGTTGACTCTACAGTTTTAATTTAATGAGACAGCCAGCACAGTTGATTCACAACTTACACAAGCTAAAGACGAAGGGCAAGCCCAAGGTAAGTTATGGCCGATTATAAATCAACTTGGTCCACTGCCCGACAGCAGAAATGATTCGAACGCCGGTTCTGGCCAAAGTATTCGCTGAAGTGATGGTTGCTTGTGCCATCAGTCGCGTTATGAGTGATTCCCGCTGCCTATGAATCAGCTAAGTCTACTTTCCGCAGAGGTTGGGACTCATTCCTAGACATAAAATTTGCAATTAGCAGCGTAGGAGCGACATGGAAACAAGGGCTGGAACTGCTTTCGCAAATCAAAAGTGCGAATTTTGCACAACTGGGGGCCAAAATAATTCAAGTCCGCAGACGTCCTTTTCGGTTTTGTGATGGCGATGTGTTTCGGCGTAGCAGTAGTCTCCGTGTGGGCTGCTTTGAGCGACGCAAGTCCCGTATGTGCCCGGAAAATAATTGAGATAAATTTGTATAAATAATTCATTTTCATTCCTCCTCTTTCTTTTACAGCATGTCGTTTGTATCAATGATTGTACATACAACCTTTGGCAAAATTCAAAGTGACAGCAACATTTAATAAGAAACGAACCGGGTTAATTTTATTTTGCATTCGTCCGGTGTTCGTCGAGCGCGATTGGATGTCGATGCTATGTGTAGATCAGTGATTACCAAGTCTGAAATGCAACTTTGCAAAGCAAAAATTGGTTTTGGTTTTGGACATTTTTGGATGTGATTGGGCCATTTTTCTTGACGTATGCTTCCCCAGCAGCCACACTTGCGTAATTTCGCAGAAAACTGAGATTATTTGCAAGTGACTACATTAATTAAAGATTAAGATTGATGGAAAGTCCCAAGATGTAATGTAATATCTCACTTTAATTAAACAGGTTCATGCTAATCTTTGAATGGGACTGCATTAATAAAGCTTATTATCCGTCTCCATCCAATACGACTTGACATTGTGCCAAAAGTCGTATGGACTATTCTACGATCCTCACAACACAGGCAGCCATCTTGGGTTTGCCCTTGACATTTTTCCGTTAATTAATTTTGGTTGTTGATGCATGAGGAATTTTCATGTGCATGTAGACTATTCTTGACGGCATGCATTAACGTTAAATAAGTCTACATGCACATGATTGATTCTCTCATCGTCATTTGGGATTTGTTTTGTAATAAATCCATTATGATCACATGTCAGAACTCAGAATCAATCTACATGCGTCATAATTGACTCTAACATTGTCTTTTTTTTTTTTTATCTAAAACGATAGCGATTTTTATTAACCAAAGAGAACGAGTACAACGGTGCCACATGGGTGTGTTTTCTCCAATGACCAATACATTGAATTGGAAATAATTTGCTCAAACAAATGTAATCAGTAAACCTCTACACGGCTATCACAACCAACAAACACAAGACCGTCGCTAATACAAATCTATCATAAAAAGTGATAGTTGCAAAAGAATTATACGGGGCACACAAAAGTCATCGCTACCAAGCGAAACGAGACCACATCAAGCCATGGTTGATAGGCGATGCCACATCACTCACTAGGAGAGGCAACAATCGCTAAAAGTGGTACAAACAACAAAACTACTCTAAGAACTCCGTTAACATTGACCTTTTGAGTTTGTTTTGTAATGAAATTTCTTAAGCCCAGCATAAGCACGTCAGTTGTCCAACACTCCTCACAACATACGAGCGTCAGCACAAGATTCCGTGATCCCAAAATTATTATTATTATTTTTTTACTATTATTAGTGAGAGGGAGGGGAATTTGAAACTAGAGAATACTAAGGAAACTCTTTCAACAGCGGAACTCTCTATGGATTTTCTAGCACCTCATGTTTTTTACACAATGTTTTATACTGTTGGCACATGAACTGATGTTAAATTATGAGATGACAGAGAGTCAATAGAGAGTCTCACTTTAATCTAGTATCCTTAGCATTTCTCTTGAAACTATTACAATAATTTAGAAAATAGGGGAGTTACGAACCCGCATGCATAGGTAGAATTCAACACTCCATCCACTAAACTATTAGACCACATGCATCCCAAATTACCATATAAATAAAATGGGTTTTCCCAACACTCCCTTGTACAACTAGAAAATGACAATAAAAGCTTGTGATTAACATGAGTAATTCGCAATTTTTAATAGCTCTTCGATTGCCTAAACTTATTCTCTTTTTGCGAGTGGAAGCAAAAGCAATGGAGGAACCAACAACTACCACTCCCAACCAGTCCTCTCTCAATTTCACCAGGTGTGTTGAAAATCTCTTTCTACTTGTTTGTTCTTTTCTCCCTTGGCAACTGTGCAGGATCTGATGATAGAGATGATTTTTGGTACAAAACTTTGCTAGTAGTATTGAGTTTCACCCAATGATTTGAATTTTTTTTTTTTTTTGTAAATTCAAATTTTATTGAGAGAGAGAGAAAAAAAAAACTAGCAGTTCAAAGGGAGTTGCAAACAACTACAACATGAGCCGAGGAAACCCTTCAAAAGAACAACACGCTAGCTTCAAGGAAGATCATTTTTTTGGTCATATGATAGATTTTGTTAGTTATTGGGAGAAGACCTTTGGTCCATAGGAATCAATTACTTCTAATAAAACTAATTGGCTTATTGCCAATTACTTCTAATTGGAGGTTCTATCCTATATAAAATTAATTGGTAATGTGAAAAATAATCAAAATTGACATTTTTCTCATTGTAGTTAACTGACTCGATGAAAATTGCAATGTAAATGTCACTTTTACATCTTAAATTTACATATCTTTGTTAAAATGCTCTTAGAGAAAGAGATTCGAACATCAATACAAAACGTTATCACACTGTTCCGACTAACAGAATATACAAATATAGAATGCCACTACTAAACAAAACAATTATAGCCGAATGATGCCTAAATTGAATCAAACTGTTAAACACATTAAGTGGCATATCATGATTTGTCTCCACAAAGCAATATTGGAGCTTTATGTGAAAGAATATATGATTTCAATTGGATACTACACTTAATACACATCTATATATATTCCCCTTGTTTGGTCAAATATATATATGCCCTTTATTCAAAGGGGTCCCAATATTTTTAAAAATGAAGATTAGTTGTGGAGTTCATTCTATATCGAACTTTAAAGATTCAAATTATTTATTTTTTAAGTTGCACTCATGGATCATTCTTGTAAATTATTAACTAAATCGAAAATGTGTGAGGTATATAATTGAGTTCAAAAAAATTAACAAACACAATATTCTATGAAATATTGAAATTTCATCTTGACAATTAAATAAGTAAATGATTTCGAATTGAATTGATATTTTTGTAAAAATGACCTACGAATGGAGACTCAAAAAATAGACAGTTCGCATATTTGAAATTGATGTGACGTGGATCGCACAAGTAGTCATTTTTTATTTTATTTTATTTTTATAAATGAAATCCCTTTTAACAACAGAACAAGTTGTGGTATACATCTATCATGTTGCAAAAGAAGAAAAGCAAAAAGAAGAAAAAGCAATAGAGGACAACTTAAGTACTGCAAAAAATCAATTGGCTTTTCTTATATAAATCAATTTGTAGGTCAATTATGTTGCAAAATTAACAGGCCGTGAGATTCTCTGTTTGTTCTAAACACTTATATTAAATTTGAGAACACCAAATAAGAGGAGTTTTTGCTGGATTCTGCAATTTGCCCTTAAACTGTCTCTATTTTTTATTTATTTATTTTGTGGTCAACTATTCCAGGAAATTTGGTATTTGTTTAAACATGTTTTCTTCTGTTTTTCCTTTGTAGTACTATATGATTATAAACCACCCCAGTTGGGGATAGTTTAAATGATGGCATCAAATTATAAATCTAATTTAAGAGGGTCAAATCTTGTGGGGTTTAAGGAAAATTATAAATAAATTACATAAAATATTAACAGAAATTACAAAGATTAATGTAATCTTGCAATCCTAACACAATTTCTCATTTTGAATGATATAGGTCATTGTAAAATTGATAAGTAAGATTATAGGAAAATTGCAATAGATCCCAATAAAACTTCATGATCAAACCTTGTTTAATCAAAATTGTAGCATTAATACGGCAAAAATGAAAGTAAAAAGATGCTCAAATTGCATTTCTTTTCGAAAATTCGAAAAAAATATATTATTGAAAGTGATAATTAGAAATTTAAAACTTATGTCATAAAAGATCAGTATTCAAATCATAGGAAATAGATCATCTTCGGATCCCTTCCACCTAATCCTCATCATCAAACAATCTGAGCTCTTGAAATTGATCCAACGGCTAAACACACAGGCCAACTTTAAAAGTTATAATAATTTTAACTGTTAGATCAAATTTTAAGAATCTAGATTGTTTGCTGAGGAGAATTAGGTGGATCCATTTCCCGAATTACAAATGTTGAGGTGGAAAGGTGCTCCTGTTGCCCTCAATCTAATAAAACTCTTTCTGTTTTTGGAGATTTGAAAAAAAAAAAAAAACAAATTACCAAAGGAGATTAGTGACAAATACGGATGGGAAAACGTAAAACTATCACTAAAAACTTGCATAATATCTCATCAAAACTTCATAAAAACAAGATTAATATTGTTAGAATGTTTACATTGACGCAGAAGGGTGCGTGTTGCGTCCATATCATTTTCTTCGCATAAGGAAATCCAATAAAGCTATATCTTTTTAGGGAAAATTTAAACAATCAAATTACCAATAAACAAAAAAAAAAATATGGGAGGTCTTATATTTGATGCTTTGAGCTGGTGAGTCAACTTGACTGTGATTATAGTTAGGGTGGAACTCTCCATAGCCTTTCTGGGCTCAAAAACAATGAATAATCATGATTTACCACAAGTTATCTCAATTTTTAAAAAAATGAAAAAAAAAAAAATACCAAAAGTGATTAGTGAAAATAATGGAAGGGTAGTAACTAATTAAACTGTAGCAACTAGAAAATGCTTTAATTACCATAACCTCTAACATTAAACCGCCAGGAAACTCTCTCTCCTCTCTCTCTCTCTCTCTCTCTCCCGTTCCAACCCACTAGGCACTCCAAAGCAGCGGCAGCAAGGAACCAGCTCAAGGTTTTCCTCTAAAAAGCTTCCATCTTTCCAACTCCAAGAAGCTCAAAATCTCACTGAAATTCAAACCCCCACAGAAAACCAAGTCATGGGTTGCTGTGCATCCAAAGTTTCAGAGAAACAACCACCAGAGAAAATCCAAACCCAGCAACTAGCTCACAATAGCCGGAACCCGACCCACCAACCGAATCCCACCTCAGGATCCGACCCAGAAACCGGCGGAGCCCCACCCTTCTCCGAATTCTCCTTCGCTGACCTCAAAGCCGCCACCAACAACTTCAGCTCTGACTACATAGTCTCTGAGAGTGGCGAGAAGGCCCCAAATCTTGTTTACAAGGGTCGGCTGCAGAACCGCCGTTGGATCGCCGTCAAGAAGTTCACCAAGATGGCGTGGCCTGATCCCAAGCAGTTTGCGGTGAGCTTTTTTTTTTTTTTTGGGTGTGCTTTTGCTTCATTTGGGTTTTTGAGTTTTTGCTATTTTTGGTGGGTTTTCAATCGTTTTGTGAATTCAACCTGTGAAATGATTTGTGGGTTTTGGTTCTGCAGGAGGAAGCTTGGGGTGTTGGGAAGCTGCGGCATCGGCGGCTTGCGAATTTGATTGGGTATTGCTGTGATGGGGATGAGAGGCTGCTAGTTGCCGAGTACATGCCTACTGATACTTTAGCTAAGCATTTGTTCCACTGTATGTCAACCAAAATCTATCATTTTTTTGCTTTTTTGTCTTTTGGCTTTAGCTGTTGTATCAAGAATGCTACTTTTTAGCTTAGCTTCTAAGATTTCTGAATGACCCTTTTGTGAAGTACCTCCAAACATATAGTTTTTAAACAATCAATGAAATGCAAGATGTCATTCACATTAGTTTTCTATACCATGAAACAGTTAGGCCATTAATCTTACCTCGTAGTAGTGCTAATGCTAGATGATGTTTAACATTGCCTTTCATTTGGAGGAGTCGTGGTGAGGTGTGGTTTTTACTTTTTAGTATAGTTTTCTATCTAATGTGGCTGTACTGTCTTGTCTTCGTACTGCTAATTTCTTAAGGTTTGCATAAGCAATCAATTCAACATTTGAGTTTTGTTCCTCCAAATTGAGAATTAGTGGCTGTATTTGTCGAAGATTAATTTTTGGTCTCTGCTTTTCATACAGGGGAGAATCAAACCATTGAGTGGGCCATGCGTTTAAGAGTGGCTCTTTATATTGCTGAAGCTTTAGATTATTGTAGTACTGAGGGCCGTCCATTATACCATGATTTGAATGCTTATAGGGTTCTCTTTGATGAGGTACTCCTTTTTCAGATTTGATCATCTCAGTTAAAAATATATGTATTTTCAATCATGTCTGTGTCCATTACTATTTAGGGTGATAATATAGTATTTGGATGGACTTGTAGGATGGTGATCCTCGCCTTTCATGTTTTGGCTTGATGAGAAATAGTAGGGATGGGAAGAGTTACAGCACAAATCTCGCTTACACGCCGCCTGAATATTTGAGAAACGGTAGTAACTTCTCTACTCTAAATACTACGCATCCGTTTGATTATTTTTCTTGTTACTATATCTGAAAGGACTTTTCCTGCTTGAGATGTGCTGACTTTACTGGTTGTTTATTTACAATGTAGGAAGAGTAACTCCAGAAAGTGTTGTTTATAGCTTTGGCACTGTCCTTCTAGATCTGCTAAGTGGGAAGCACATCCCTCCAAGTCATGTAAGTGGGGTGCTGTATAATATGTCGGATGCACATTTTACAGTTAGTCTGTCCTACACCGTTGCTTGCTTATGCAAACTAGAGCCTTTAGTACTATAGTCATCTTGGGGTGTGACAATTTTTAGTTATCGCTCAAAGTTGAAATTAATTGATTACAAATCTGCTGTAGTGGATCTGCTTATATTAAACTTGATTGTTGGGATATGATATGCATAAATATCTTTGTGTATTCAAGCCCTCCTGCATGTTGGATTTGAGCATCAGTTGTCTTCGTAACTTCCGTATCTTATGGGAAACAAATAATCAGCAAACAAAATCCCTCTTTATATAACTTGATTCCTTCTCCATATCATTTGCCCATCTTGATACTTGATGTTATTCATCACACAACACTGCCTTCATTTTATCTAATTGTAAAACTGGTTCCATGGTTTTCCTAAATTTGCATAATTATAAATTTCAATTTATTTTTCGTTTCATTACATGAGAAGTGTTTTCTTCACTATCAACTTGGTGTCTAAATTATGAAGTCAGTACTTCAATATGCTGGGTGTGTCCTCCGTCATGCGATTTGACTTGTTTACCATTTTCTGTTATTATCTAGAGTTAACCATCATGTAAGACAATCATACTTCACAGTGTTTACATTGATGGAAAACATTGATAAGTATGTATATTTGTTTTGTAATTTACGTCAGTTCTACTTAAGGTGTAGGATGACATGTTATGCTGGCTTCTTTTAGAACATACTCTAGTATTTAAATGATTTAAATTCATGCAAACAGGCTCTTGATATGATACGAGGGAAAAATATCATTCTGTTAATGGATTCACATTTGGAGGGGAAATTTTCTACAGAGGAAGCAACAGTAGTTGTTAATCTTGCTTCTCAATGTCTCCAATATGAACCTAGAGAGCGGCCTAATACAAAGGACCTTGTTGCAACACTTTCTCCACTGCAGACCAAACCTGATGTAAGAGGCTTTCCCTTTTGGATTATTAAATTGTCGAGTTTATGAACGAAGCTGTTATTCTTTTCTCAGTGCTTTGTTCGTGGTTTTGTACTTTTGACTTAGCATGTCCCTAGCACAAGCTGTTTATTGATGGCTTAGTGTGGCCGAGTCCAAAAGGAATCACTTTACACTATTTTTGAAGTAGTGCATACCCATGGACTGGAAAATGATGCATGCACAGGGCATATTTGGATTGTAGCGGCATCCTTGCCTTAGCCGATGCCTTTTTAACTTCAGGCATTCCCCTGAGGTGCATCCACATATTCTTACATGGCCAAAACTTTGTTGATCTGATGACCTAATAGGGGATCATCTATGATCTATATTCGGTCATGCATGTAAGATGATAAAGGTGGACTACTTCACAAGAAGAATCTAATTACGAAGATTCTGGATTGCAGGTTCCATCTTATGTCATGCTTGGGATTCCAAAGCATGAGGAAGCCCCTTCAACCCCACAACGTCCCCTCTCTGCTATGGGTGATGCCTGCTCTCGGATGGACCTCACAGCAATCCATCAGATCTTGGTTATGACGCACTACAGAGATGATGAAGGAACCAATGAGGTAGTTAAGTGGTGCTAGGGCATCATGCATATCCTGTTCAATCAATTTATGCTAAGAGATCTTTTTTGAATTTGGATGGCTTCAGTTATCTTTCCAAGAGTGGACTCAACAGATGAGAGACATGTTGGAGGCAAGGAAGCGAGGGGATTATGCATTCCGGGACAAAGATGTTAAAGGTGCCATTGACTGTTACTCCCAGGTATAATTTTGTTGTTTGCACATGCGTGTGTATTTTTTATTTTAATCTTGTGTGCTGGAATTACGTGAACAGGTTGACAGAACTTTTGACTCGGAACCATTCCACCAGTAAATTATGTCATAAGAGTGGAAAAGTTTCTGGCCCCAACTGTTAGTCTTACCATGTTTGCTTTTCTGATATAACCGTTTCGAATCAAATTACTGCTGCTGCAGTCTTTCGTACTTGCTGATTAGCATAGCTGTTCAAGGCATTTTTGTTTTATTTCGGAGTTAAGGATGGGCTCAGCGAGTTATAATCTTGAACTATGGTGTCGCCAACTGTTTTCCTTTTGTTTTTTGGGCGCAGTTCATAGATGTTGGAACTATGGTGTCGCCAACTGTTTTTGCGCGACGCAGTTTATGCTACCTGTTAAATGAGCAACCAGATGCTGCCCTTCGAGATGCAATGCAAGCGCAATGTGTTTATCCAGACTGGCCCACAGCCTTCTACATGCAATCAGTTGCTCTAGCCAAGCTAGACATGCACAAGGATGCTGCTGACATGTTAAACGAAGCAACTGCGCTAGAAGAAAAGAGGCAACGAGGAGGCCGGGGATCGTGAGGATCAACTCTGTGTAATAACTAATAAGTGATAGTACATTATTTACCATTACCAATTGACAATTGTTGTTGAGGCTACCCATAATTTGTATAAAATCTGAGCTGGGAATCCAATTTGTCTTTACCATTGAGAATGTATTTACACAGAACCGCCCTTCTGTTGCACTAGTGAATGTTTGCCTCCCTCCCATGCCAAAATCTTTCCCGGGCAATTAGTTCCAGTGAGTCAATTTGTTGCTAGATTAATTAAATCTAAAATTTAAAGACTTCTTTTCGTGTTTGTTTTTCCAGGGCTTCAAGGACGACGTGTTAGTGAAAACTCGAACATACCCTTTTAAGTATATTTGTAAAATGCCATTACCTAATGCTAGTGAAAGTCACTTAATGCTAGTAACTTAATGGATGTTCAATTTTTAAAACGATATGTATTTTTTTGGAATTTTTTAAAGGGCGATACCAGTTCGGAATCAACTCCAAGGGAAGTGGGCAAGGGGGAGGCATTGGACAAGCTACACTGGGCCTCAACTTGTGTTGGTTGAAGTTTACTAGTTTTAAGTTTAGTTGTTTGGTTTGGATTAAGTTTAAGTTTTTTCATTAGACCGATACACTCAATTATGTATGACTTGAATTATGTATGACTTTCGGTTATGTTAATAAATGTCCAATGATTTATTCGTTGTTTGTTTGGTTGCCATTGTAAGTAGATTAGAACCCCAAAACCCGGAACTTTCCTAGGGTGTTACACTTTCAAGCACACGACTCCTTTATAGTTAATTGGTTTTAGGCTATAACCTTAACTTAAAAAATTGCCTTCTTCAACCTGTCTTAATTTGCAGACCACGACCATGTGTCATTGTCGTTATCTATGACAGACGTAGGGGAGATGGGCGAAGCTACATGGGGACAAGGAGGGGCGGCCACCCCTTGTATCGCCTGAAATTGCCACTGAGAGTGAGGATTTCGCCCTTCTAGTCCTTTAAACTATCGTCGAAATCTGATGCGCTACTACACTACTTCTGTGTTTTATGCTTTGCTACTTCTTTTGCATTTTATTTTTTAAGTACTCAGGCCAAAACTATGTTGTTTTGGTCCTGGAATAAAAAAAGCGTAGAACGGCGTTGTTACGGAGGGCTACAGTAAGACTGCCATTATTCAAGAGTCTATTAAGTTGTTTGATAGTATGAGGGAATTGGGTGTGCAGATAAGTTTCAAGTCCTATGAGGCTCTATTTAAGGCCATTATGCGCCACAACCGGCATATGATGGCCAAGAGGTATTTTAAGGCAATGTTGAATGGGAATAGAACCCAATATGCATATTGATAAGTCACGTGCATAAGGTGTTTGACGAAACACCCCACTTAACCGTCTCTCTCTTGAATCCCATGCTCAAGAGCTATGGTAGAGAGAATCGATGGGAAGATACATTGTATCTCTTCCATAACATGATATTTGAGTCAAGAAGCATTGATGAAAATCCCCATAATTTTACCATTCCCATTGCTCTGAAGACGTGTGCGAGGTTAAGGCACTCACATATGAGAAAGGGATTTTTTTAACACAAATGGTCCTTGAGATTGATCAAACTCATCATTTTGGTCCCTCACTTTCAAAATCAATCAATGTCGTCCCTGACATTCACTACGGAACATCAATTTGGTCCTTCAGTTAAGATTCCGTGTTAATTTTTATACGGGGCCCACAAATCCAATGAAATGGTGACATTTGGATTACACAAAATAAAAGTTTTTATTGCAAATGGTCGCTGATATTGATCCAACTCCTCATTTTGGTCCCTGAGTTTCAAAAATCGATAAATTTGGTCCCTGACTTTGAATACCGCACGTCAATTTAATCATTCCGTTAAAGTTCTGTCAATATTTTTTGTCTCACTAATTCAATGATATGGTGCCACGTGAATTAACTATAAGAAACTATTTTTTTAAGATTTAAAACTAAAAGTAAAATAAGAGATTGAAAACCAAAACTAAAAGAAAAAAATTAAGTCATCATCATCTTCATTAGGGTATGCTAAAAAAAGAAAAGGAAGGCACTATGACACCACTAAAGTACTTGACCTCCTGAACTCACTCCTTATTTTCTCTAGTTAGTTATAATCTTATTAACTTTGAATTGAATTTGGATTTGATTTTATCGAATTTAGATTGAATTTATTTTTTTTCCAATTGGGGTTGTGGGATGCGAGAAAAATGTTAGCGCGGAATACTCGTACGTTGGTTCACTCTTAAAAAAAAAAAAGTTTCTTATAGTTCATCCACGTGGAGCCATATTGATGAAATTTTAACGGAATGACTAAATTGATGTGCGATAGTGAAAGTCAGGGACCAAATTCATCGATTTTTGAAACTCAGGGACCAAAATGAGGGGTTGAACCAATGTCAGAGATCATTTGCGATAAAAACCCTTATTTTGTGTAATCCACGTGTCATCATTTTATTGGATTTGTGGGTCCCACTTACAAAGTAATAGAATAGTTGATAGAATCTTAACGGAATGACCAAATTGATGTGGGGTAGTGAATGTTAATAACGACATTTATTGATTTTGAAAGTGAGGGACCAAAATGATGAGTTTGATCAATCTCAGGGACCATTTGTAATAAAAACCGTATGAGAAAATAATACATGTGTTTGTGAAGAAACATGACAAGGTTGCATTGAATATGTTTGTGGGTTATGCGGTTGATTGAATTGTATCCCAAATGCGGAGAAATGGGTGAGACTGTGAAAGTATTTAACGAGTTTTCACAACTGAATCTGTTTTAATGGAGCGTGACAAAAAGAAGGCAGACGCTTCTATCCTTTAGTAGCCCTCCCCTTGAGAATTCCTAGCTTTGCCACTAGTAGGGAAGAAGGTGTATTACTCAACCTCATTGACGGAATGGCAAAACAAACTTATATTCGCAATAATGGTACTAAATAAGCAGAGCAAATGTGCATTGGCTTCTTTATCTCAGCTACAAAAAGGAGGCGCATTTTCTTTAATTTGTGTCTACCCCATCTACATTATTATGAATTTTCTGGGTGTCTGAATGATCTTATTGCAAGAAGCAAGGAACGCCATATCATAGACTTGAACACATTTTTTTTAGTCTCTATTGCCCCTCTAACAGGTAGACCGTCAACATATATTTACTGAGTAAAGCAAGTGAGAATCGAATCCTCCTTCGAATGCCATTGATTTGTTGATTAATATCTGTTTACACAAGTCCCATGTGATCCACGGACCTCAATCATAATTTCAAACATTGCAGTAAAATTTACCTCTTAGGCTTAACTTGGAAATTTACAGTTCTCTGATTTTCACCTGGTAATTAGACAATATGGATATGTTCATTTCATTTTATTTTTAGATTCGAGTCCACGAACAAGACGATGATTGGAAGGTATACCGAGAACAAAAATGGTCAAATTTAAGTATTTATGTACTAGCAAGAGTTTATGAACAGTTCCCAAAATGGAAGCTTTTTGATCAAATAACAAGAATAGTTGGAATTGAGTATATCATTAAGTATAATTGATTTGATATGTAAGGTTTATACAAGTATATTTTTCATGTACAAAATAGAAGGACATAAGCATCTAGTGATTTAGGATGTTGAGGAGGGAGACTCTTGTTTTGATCAATTGCCTAAATAGGCTCTCAAGTCCTTCTTCCTGATCTTGAATACATGACTCCAGCTTCTCAAACTGGTTTTGCGCCTTCTCAGATTTGCTTGTCTTATGTAGTGCAGCATCGACTTGTGCAAATTCATTTGCCTCGGTTTCTTCCTCGCAGACAACTTTTTTGGTGGGAATCATCTTAGAAACCAATGACCAGCTGCCTGGCTTAAACTTTGGCCCAGAGATGAAGGACAGAAGAGATTCGAGCACTGCAAGAGTGATTTCTTTTACATCTCTCAACTTGCTGATAATGGCAACAGTCTCAGTGTCGTTGCTGAAAGGGGAGAATGTGGATTTGCTTTCGCTTCCCTTAAGATTCTTCGTAGCCTTTTGGATTGCCTTTTTAACCATCTTCCTGGAGCTCAAGTATTTGTTAACCTCACTTGTGAGAGCTCCAGATTCACCTCCTCGCGTTCTTCTTATGATTGATTGAAGATCCTGTACGTATGCCTTCGTTTGCAAGACTGCATCCTTGGCAGTGCTGCAAACGTCCAAGAGTCTGAGATAGCCATCTAATAGCTCAGTAGTCCATTTCTCATTCTGCTCCTGGGCCAAGGCTTGTTGTGTGAGGGGCAACTGAAGCAACCTATCAACACAACCATACAAGTCTCCGAGATTACTTAGGTTATGGTATATGGATGAGGAAGATGTGGAGGTAGCTTTGGAAGACGTCAATCTGGACAAATGTTCATCAACTTGTTGAACGATCGGGTGTGGCCTTGAGGGGAAGCTGTCAGAGTGAGTGTGGAAAGCCATTGCTTCTTTGTGTTTTGAGAGAAACTAGAAGAGAAGACTCTGTAGTTAGTGTACAATTGAGATTGATGAGTTCTTTCGAAGCGCAGCTACTTAATATATAGTGCTGGTTAAGGGAAGGGGACATGGAATCTCATGCACTTCAATGACAGCAAAAGGTAACACGATTTCGATTTCCATCTATATGTGCCCAAGGCAATGTTTACGCAATGTCTATTCCTACACCAGCATACCACCTCATTAGCTGATTTATTTTGCATATAAAATTCCAGAGGACACTATCATAATGTAACAATCATCCATTCGTAACTAACATGTTAGAAAGAGATCATAAATTAAATATGCCTCAGCACGAGTGTCATTCAGAGGCAAACACCATTTATCTCAACGATGCTGATCAACATGTGTGATAACTTAATCATTCATCTTATTTTGCAGGTCCTTCACATGATTGTTTGCCAAGGAGGAGGCAAGATCTGCCAAATATGCATTAGTTTGTTTCATGCATGTGTTTCTATAATTTACAAAAATGTAAGTTGCTGTTTGGTTAGCAAACTAGATGAATTGGACTGTTCCCTAAACAGATAACGAACCAGCTTAATTTTTCATTAAACAAGCTTTGAGATTTGAGTCTGCAATGTTACTGGTTCATTAGTTTTTGTCCCATTAATTATATATTTTGCACATGTTTATTATTTTTCATACAACAATAGTTCTAAACATGCGAACTATTG